ATGTGTATAGCCACCGAAAAACGTCAGTCATTCACCCACTCCTCCAATGGCATGACATGACATCCTCCTAGCAGCTAGCTGGCTATCTAGCTAACGTTAGATCCGTGTTTTTAGCTTGCTACATAAATAGATACGCTAGCCTATTAGCCACATTATGACTGACTTGTGATCATTGCCCTTGCTAATTTGATTGTACTGACATTCCAATCCTAAGTTACATTCGTCCGTTTTTGTCAAGAATATTGAGTCATTGAAATTGAAACAGTGCATCCCGAATGGAGGCAGCAAACAATGCACCATGCCAGCTGTGGTTTAAAACCTGATTGCAATATTTTCTGGACTACCAAGAAATGTATTGGTGAATTATATTAATCATGCATTGTAACTGCATCCATCTATTCTGCCAACAATGCCTTAGTGTACGTCATGGAACATTGACACAAATAGAACCTATTATTAAAACCTCTTCTAAAGTTGGTTTTGTAGCATAAACTGGGAATTTTATATTTTTGACTGAAATGATTGTCTGTTTGTTTCATATCTGCAAAGTAGTTAAAACGCTGTCAGTTCCACTTTAAACTTTAGGTCACCGGTTACCTTGTGTTTTAAACATGAAATGTATTTTGCAATGAACCCAGTCCTGCTCCTCGCACCAAGCAAGTGGTGCGTGTCGCCAGTCCGGTCCGGCCCGTTCCTGCTCCCCGCACCAAGCCAGTGGTGCGCGTCGCCAGCCCGGCCTGTTCCTGCTTCTCGTACCAAGCCAGTGGTGCGCGTCGCCAGCCCGGCCCGGCCTGTTCCTGCTCCTCGCACCAAGCCAGTGGTGCGCGTCGCCAGCCCGGCCCGTCCTGTGCCTTCTCCTCGCACCAGACCAGTGGTAAGCTTGTCCAGTCCGGCACGGCCCGTGCCTGTTCCAACGGTGCCTGATCCGGCACCGGTCAGCTGCTCCACTCCGGAGCCAGAGCAGTCCGCTCCACCGGTGCCTGATCCAGCTCCGGTCAGCTGCGCCACTCCAGAGCCAGAGCAGTCCGCTCCACCGGGGTCTAGTCCAGCTCCGGTCAGCGGCTCCACTCCGGAGCCAGAGCAGTCCGCTCCACCGGTGCCTAGTCCAGCTCCGGTCAGCGGCTCCAGTCCAGACCATGACGTCAGCCCCTCTCCAGGTTCGGGGTCCCCCACACCAGGGTCCAGACAGGGCCTGGCGTATCGTGGGAGGAAGGAGAGGGAAAGTAGCGCGCCGAGGTCCAGACCAGACCAGGGGCGCAACAGGGAGGCGGAGAGTGAGAAGTCGTCACGCCCCGAGCCGGATCCGCCCACCTGGCCCCTACCCTGTTATGTTTATGTTGTGCGGTCGGAGTCCGCACCTTTGGGGGGGGGGGGGGGGGGGGGTACTGTCACGCCCTGACTCAGGGGACTCTTATATGTTGAGTCAGGGTGTGTATATTCTTTGTTATATATATTCTATGTTGTAGGTCTATTATGTGTAGATCTATGTTGGCCGGTGTGGTTCCCAATCAGAGGCAGCTGTAGCTCGTTGTCTCTGATTGGGGACCATACTTAGGCAGCCTTTTGGCACTAGTGGGTTGTGGGATCTTGTTCCGTATAAGGTATGTTGTTTGTGTCTACCTTGGACTTCACGTTTCGTTTCTTGTTTTGTCGAGTGTTTATTAAGTTTAAATAAACATGTATGCATATCACGCTGCGCCCTGGTCCGTCCCGTCCGTCAACGAGCGTGACAGTACTCAAATTTTGCCAAAAAGTTTCCAAATGGTCTGCCCAGCGAAGGAAAGGCACCCTGTGGGAAAAATCCTATGTTTTCCTATGATTTTTTACGTTTTTCACTCTCAAAATCACATTTTTTTTAATAGAAAGAATTAATAAATGTGATGGTGTAAGTCCACAACAATGCTTAATCCACATCAATCGGATTGAGTGTCAGGGCCTGGCTTCCCAGTGGCTGGGCCTGTCAGGGCCTGGCTCCCCAGTGGGTGGGCCTCTGTCCACCAAGGCCCATCCATGTCTATGCCCCTGATGCAAACAGCGCATGATGAAAATTGCACAAATCCTACTATCCTACTAGCCTAAACTTTTTCAATACCTGGTTTGCATACCCATTGTTGCCTTAGTTAGCATTTACTGGTAGATATCATACGTTGTAACGTCTTTCCTACCCTACCGTTACCGATGTAATTCTTCTGTGAGCTGCTCCATGCCAAAACCAGTTGAGAGCTGCACACTCTTGCTGCCTGCAGATGATATTCCGCTGTGTGCAGCGCGCATGATAATATATTTCATGTGCTTTGCGATTGTGTAGGCTACTTTGTGCATGATTTCTCTATTGTACTACATAATTGATAAGTCGTATAGCTCCACTACACTACTTTGATACGCATCAGTAGGGATTAAGAAGTGACTATAAGCAATGCCCACTGAAAAAAAAGTTGGTGTACGACTTATACCTGCGTTACACTCCACTACACCACTGGCCCATTTGTGTTTTCCAAAAAGTGCACTCTCCTACATGAGTGCGCTGGTATTACGGTTGCTGTCCTTTCAGAATCACGAACCTGTCACACAATGAAGGCCTGCCTATAGGTTCGGCACTGCGCAAACATGTCTATAATAGATTTAAAGGCTGTTAAAATATTAATGTTTCAAGAAAGGAGTGTATGTATTTGGCCTGGCGAAGCGGTTTTATGCGCTGACTGAATGGAAGCTGATAATTATGAGTTTTTTACTTCGCTGGTCTCTGGAAGAAATTACAAGTCCTCACTGTCCGAGACCGAGTCAAGACCGAGTACAAATGTATCCGACACCGAGACAAGACCGATACACTCAATATGTGGTCTTGAGACCGGACGTCTCGAGTATTACAACACTGATTAGCATCATGTGATGTCTTTCATTCAACAAAGAAGGGAACAGACTGTTCATACTCTTCGAAAGGGTTACAACAACCCACCTGCCCTCGCCCCCATCCGCCTCACGTCGCCCTCCATGACTTACTGCCTGTGGGGACTCCTGACTCCTCCACTGGCCTGTACTATAGCTTGTGTAGGTGTAGTAGTGATGATGGATGTCCTGGCTGCTACACGGTGGCTAATGTTACGAGTTGTCAGCCACTCGATAGGGAGGAGGTCTCAGGTGGCCTGTGCCGCTCGCTTCAGAGTGACCGCCCTCTGGAGAGACGCTGCCCTTGATTATACACCGGGAGGGAGGAAGAGGGAGAGGGAAATGGGGAGGAGGGAGGAGGGAAGAGGGGGAAGTCAATGGCCTGACAGAGCTAGGCTAGCTGTCAGAGTGGGAGTTTCTAACACTATACAGTCCTCAGGACACCTAGCTGTCTATTATAGAAGGATAAACTCTGAGGTTTTTACTTTGAGGTGGCCTGTCAGAATGCCTGTATTGTAGCTGTCAGAGAAGGTCATGTGGTTTATTACAGTCTGACATCACACTTATGGGAACCGACAATCACACTCCTGAGAGGTGGAGATGTGATGTTCAGAACATTGCATTAGAGAGAGTGTCCTGGGAAATCCACACGATTCCCACTGTTGTTATCACATTCTCAAAACAAGCCTTTCATATTAGCATTGTTAACTGATCAATCAACAAATCAACTAATATCTGTTCTGGTCACTTGACCCCTCACCTCACCCCTGCAATACCTCCCATGGTCGTAAGATTGGGAAGCAGAGCCAAGGTAGTTTTCTCCTTTCTCAGCTGACTTGATTAAAAAAAATATTGAGACACAAAACAGATGAAAACACAGCTCAGATGACAGTCTAGTCTATTTCAATCGAATATCACAAACCAAGTGGGATTCGTCCCTTCATAACAGATAACATGAAAACACTTGTTTTCTCCTCTCATTGCTTTAGGCCCACCAGGGGATTCATTTGATGGAGTTTTGATTTGATGAACACACTTCAACATCTGCCCTGCAAGAAAATGTTAAAATAACGGAACATTTACGTGACGTGGTGGCAGGCCCAATGACGGCGGGGGAGCAGAACCCAATCCGTTTAAAAAACCATTTGGAGCTGTGCCTGGTGGTAAGGGCCAAGTCTGTGAGACGGAGCGGTTTTCCCTGGCCATGTAAAAGGCTGGGCTGACGGATGGACCTATAAACACTCAGCTTTTACCTCCCAGAGAAAAGAGACAGGAACAAAAGAGCCAGCTGCCCGGGCACATTCCCATTCCTCCCTTTCCCTCTTTAATCTTTCCTGTCATCGCCCCACCCCGGTGTGAGAGAGAGAGAGAAAGAGAGAGAGAGAGAGAGAGAGAGAGAGAGAGAGGGAGAGAGAGAGAGAGGGAGAGAGAGAGAGGGAGAGAGAGAGAGGCTTGTTCGTGTCGCCTGACTTGTTCTTTTTTATTTTTCACAGCGTTCCCTCGCTCATCTTCAGACGGCTGGGCTGGCTGTGTCTGGCTGACTGGCTGACTGTTCTAACAGTAGACAGTTCAAACAACCATCAATAGAACTAATCACTGGACTGATTTCTAGTTAAAACACTGATGTTTTCCCAATAGGCCTTCACCAGGAAGCTTTCATCACAAGCAATATGATGAAGATCTTATTGTGTACCTGTGGGAGACTATTCTTATTGATTAGGAACAAGCATTGATTAATGAATGGCTTATGACTGATGTTTCCTTTTGCCGCTCTAGTCGCTAGTTCTAATTATGAATGTCGATAATAGGCTGAATCTACCGTACACCCAAAACTGATTTTTGAAGGTGCTGAAAGCAAAATGCAAAACTGGATCAACAGAAAAAAGTCTCTGCACACTTCCAGTCAAATACAAAGGTATATTTAATACAAAGGTATTATTTAGTTGAGCTTTCGGTCAATCGACCTTCATCAGAGCATAACTGTGCGTAACAGTGCATAATATGGTCTGATGAAGGTCGATTGAACAAAAGCTCAGCTACCATCTGACTGAAGGTGTGCAGACACTTTTTCTTGTTTCTCCAGTTTTACTTATGAATGTAAAATATGTAATGAATCAAACACATACCACCATCTTGTTGAGGGAGACCCAGCAGTCCTGGGGGAAGTCCTGCAGCATGGGAACCAGGAACTGCAGACAGCCATCCCAGTGACACAGCAGCAGCATCATACCAATCAGGTTGAAGATACGCATCACTGCACTGGCCAGGTCATAGGTCATATGAAAGATCTGAAACAGAGATGGAGAGACTGGGAATTAGTTAAGGCGGAGAGGAAGGACAAGTGTGTGTGTGTGTGTGTGTGTGTGTGTGTGTGTGTGTGTGTGTGTGTGTGTGTGTGTGTGTGTGTAAGAGAGAGAGACAGCGAGAGATAGAGAAGCAGAGAGAGAGAGAGAAGCAGAGAGAGAGAGAGAAGCAAAGAGAGAAAAAGAGAGACAGAATCACAGTCACAGAATTCTTCAAGATTTCCTGTTTAATTTTATGCAAGATTCTCTAGTGATCAAGATGACATGTCCTAGAAGCAGGATTAAAGGAGAAGACTACAGTCAGCAGAACCATGTTGCCTGCTGTTCCTTTGGACCGTATTAAGAATGATTCATGAGAGGGGGAAGACAGCTTCCTATCAGTCGGCCATCAGACACAGCAGGAACAGAGCAGACATTTGTTACAGCCAGATACCACACATTAATCAGAACTGTAACACACGACAAGAGACCCTCACTCACTCACTCACTCCCACACAAACACATACTGGTACACAAGTCTGTAGGCACAGATGCATCTATACACACACACACACACACACACACACAAAATAGGCTCTTTTCCACTCCATCACTCTCTGTGGCATGGGCAGGGAACCATTACGATTCTTCCAATCTGATATCATCTCACTGATCAATCGTCTTCAGTCACAGGGTTGTCACTTTAGCCAATCATGGATCATTATTGTCACTTTAGCCATTTATCTATCACTACTTTCACGTCAGACAACCATTTTAGCTAAATCGCTAAGATCATGGGGAGAACAGATGAAATCGGTCTATCCTTCTCTAAACCCAACCAGATAAAATCGGTCTATACTTCTCTAAACCCAACCAGATAATTTGGTCTATCCTTCTCTAAACCCAACCAGATAATTTGGTCTATCCTTCTCTAAACCCAACCAGATAAAATCGGTCTATCCTTCTCTAAACCCAACCAGATAATTCAGTCTATCCTTCTCTAAACCCAACCAGATAATTTGGTCTATCCTTCTCTAAACCCAACCAGATAATTCAGTCTATCCTTCTCTAAACCCAACCAGATAATTTGGTCTATCCTTCTCTAAACCCAACCAGATAATTCAGTCTATCCTTCTCTAAACCCAACCAGATAAAATCGGTCTATCCTTCTCTAAATCCAACCAGATAAAATTCACCCAAAACATATACAACATACGTATTTCTGAGCCCTAAGCAAGAAACCAAGCTGGCCACAAGGACAATCTCCTTTCAACGATCCCTGAGGAGGTATTAGTAAAATACAAGATGGAAGACTAAATGCAGCTCAGTCTTCTCAGTCCTGGCACCCCAATGGTGGAACCAGATTCCCCCTGACGCCAGGACAGCAGAACCCCTGCCCATCAGATTCCCCCTGACGCCAGGACAGCAGAACCCCTGCCCATCAGATTCCCCCTGACGCCAGGACAGCAGAACCCCTGCCCATCAGATTCCCCCTGACGCCAGGACAGCAGAACCCCTGCCCATCAGATTCCCCCTGACGCCAGGACAGCAGAACCCCTGCCCATCTTCTGAAAACGTCTGAAATCCTACCTCTTCAAAGAGTATCTTAAATAATCCCACTAACCCCCCCCCCCCCCCCCCCCCCCCCCCCCCCCCCTCTAAAAAATGTAAACATAAAAAGAACACCCTTGCCTTTCACACTTGACTTTTTCCTACTACCACTGACTTTGCTGATAGCTACTTTATTGAGGGAAATTGTACTTACTATGACTGAGATATTTCGTTGTCCCACCTAGCTATCTTAAAATGAATGTAGCTGTAACTCGCGCTGGATATCAGTGTCTGCTAAATGACTAAAATGTAAATGTAAATGAGGATGGTGCAATGCTAACTCACAGTCACTGACTGATGCCATTGGCCTCATACACTATCTCAACCAGGTCTTTGATTGGACATGAATCACCAGTTGATCTTTCTTAATGCCACTTTAACCTTTTAGGGCTTCTGACAGTTGGTTTCTAATATGAGCTGGCAACTGACAAAATACTGCACTTCAGCACATCTATTTATAGAGTCCTGCTGCTGCTTAGATGTGAACGTATGATTAGTGACATGTTGAGGGGGAGAGGAGATAGTCACAGGACCAGAGCTATATTTACAGTATGCAGAGTTCTGCTAACTTAGTTTAAGACACAGAATCAGAATGGGCGTCATGTTGGCACCAAAGGTTCCAAGAGAATTACATTCTACAGAGAATGCAGATTAGAATGTTACTGTCATGGAACGTTTGGTGCCAACATGGAGGACTGATTGGCCAACTGTATGGCTCTAATCAGGCACCATGGACAGCGCCAAGGTTCTTATGGTGTTGTGAGAAATCTGAAAATAGTGAACCAAAGAGAAGCAGAAATAGGACACATTTTTTAGGCAGATTCTCCGCATTTTTGTGTGAAAATGTAATCACCAGAATGACTCATTCAATTAGACCCTCTAGTCTTCCAACCAACATTTTGTTTTGGTGTTTAAAACAATAAACACTCACATAATCAATTGGAGGAGTGAATAGCAACTACAACAACAACAACAAACTGCTACTACCACAGCACAAACAGTTATGTCGCCATGGCAATTCCCATTAGTAGAGGGTACAGTTTAAAGTGGAACTGACATAGTGTGAACTACTTTGCAGAAATTAAACAAACAGATGGTCATTATATCGGTCTAAAATATCAAATATGCAGTTTATGCTTCAAAACCATCTTTATAAGAGGTTTAAAAAATAGGTTATATTTGACTCAAAATTCAAATTACGTAGAGTAAGGCCTTGTTGGCAGAATTAAATGGATGCAGTCAACGCATGATTAATAAAATTCCACAATAAATCGCTAGATAGTCTAATAAATATTGCTATATCAGGTTGTAAATCACAGCTAGTACATTAACTGCCTCCAGCCATTCAGGGGATGAACTGTTTCAGTTTCACTGACCCAATACTTTGCACAAAAACGGACGAAAAGAGCAGTGATTGGGAATCTCAACACAATCAATCTAGCTATGCAGTCCCGTTACGTGGATACGGCTATAGTTAGCTTATCTATTTATGCAGGCCTACTTATTTAGCAAGCTAGCTATATGGCTTGATAGCTAAGTAATTTAGCTAGCTAGAACCTAAACTGACACAAAGCCTTGTACTGCAGCTAGCTAGCTAGCTGCTGGAAGGATGTCATGTTATCGCCTGGACAAGTGTGTGAGTGGAAGACTTTTCCCCCAACCTTTTATTGGGCTACAGCTATTGGGATCACTAAGCTAGCTCCTCATTTACTTAAACTTGAACGACTGTTAGCATATCTCTTAGTTGTCAATCAAAATGTATTGGGCATTGATCAAATGAGCAGGCAGGCAAGCTGTAAACCCCATTCACTTGTGGGTTATTATGGGACTGGGGGCAGGCTGCAGGAGGCCGAGCAGGCTACTATTCCTCATCGTATTCACAGTGTAATTCCAACTACGCGCTGAAAACGTTTGAGAGGGTTTGCCTAGCACCCACTGTGCTAGACTTTAGCACATCTGGCTCAGGCTAGCTAATATCGTTGTTATTATTGTGCATAGGCAACTTTATTTATTTATTTGTTTATTTATTTGCACCAAAGAAAACAAGTGATAGGCATCAATACAGATAAAAACAAATAAATAAAAAAACGGTGTCCAAGGGCTTATATAAAAACCACACCACAAGCAAACAATATACAATACAAAATAAAAAAGGTTTGTTAAAACAGATAACAAAACCTACTCATTATAAATTAATAAATTAATTGATCAGTAATCACGATTATTTTTATTTTATTTTTTAATGGTGTGTGTGCAGGTGTGGCCATTGTGAAGGTATGTGAGAGTTTAGGCTATATGGATGAGGGTTATCTGCGTAGTTGGAGTTCAGGCAGGGCTGACCCCGCTCAGTCTTCATGGAGGATGTTACCTGAGTAGTTTGGTTCGAGTCAGGGCTGGACCCCCAGTCTTCATGGAGATTTATGGTTTGGTCACATGACCCCAGTTTCAGGAGGAGGTATGAGTAGTTTTGTTCATCAGGCTGACCCCCAGTCTTCATGGAGGAGGTTACTGAGTGTTGGAAAACCCCAATGGAGGAGGTTACTGAGTAGTTTGGTTCATCAGGCTGACCCCCAGTCTTCATGGAGGAGGTTACTGAGTAGTTTGGTTCATCAGGCTGACCCCCAGTCTTCATGGAGGAAGGTTGTCTACTGAGTAGTTTAGTTTGTTCTTTCAGGCTGACCCCTAGTACTTCCATGGAGGGGGTTTATCTGAGTCGTTTGGTTCATCAGGCTGTACCCACAGTCTTCATGGAGGAGGTTACTGAGTAGTTTGGTTCATCAGGCTGACCCCCAGTCTTCATGGAGGAGGTTACTGAGTAGTTTGGTTCATCAGGCTGACCCCCAGTCTTCATGGAGGAGGTTACTGAGTAGTTTGGTTCATCAGGCTGACCCCCAGTCTTCGCTTGAAGTTATTGAGGGATGAAGATGTTTTGGCAATGTGAAGATAAGAATTCCAGAGTATGGTACCTCTGTATCTGATAGAGAATTGACTATGTGAGGTGCGGCAGTGGGGAGGGGGAAGGTTATTGCAGTGTCTTGTGTTATATAGATGGATTACAGAATTAACCTGGAAGAATCCAACTGAGGGAGAGATAGCCTACCTGTTGGTTGTTTGATCAATAGGACTGTAAAGTTCCCCCCAAAAGTAAGACTCCCATGGTGTTTATATATTTGCAGAAAACCAAATCAGGTATATTTTGTGACTTTTGCTACTGCTTTCTAAATAATGATCTAAACAAAGTTGCGCTGTTCTGATGCCTGTAAACACAGTCCACTCAACCCTAAACAGTGGAGAGGCACGTCTAGCACTGTACTCAACACTTCCTCTCCAAACTCTACACTTTGGTGGTTCCAAAAGGGTTGTTTGGCTGTCCCCATAGGAGAACCCTTTTTGGTTGCAGGAAGAACCCTTTTGGTTCCAGGTAGAACCCAAAAGTGTTCTACCTGGAACTAAAAGGGTTCTTCCTGCAACCAAAAAGGGTTCTTCAAAGGGTTCTCCTATGGCAGGGATGGGCAGCTTTGATGGGGCCACAGTGGCTCGTGGGTCTGCAATTCTTCACATTTTGCCATAGGGTGGTGGAAAATGTTTGCAGTTTTTAATATGATAACTGATGATCAATGGAACCCACGCCGATCGGTAATTCCACCATGCGTAATCTCCCGAGTGGCGCAGTGGTCTAAGGCACTGCAGTGCAGTGCTAGCTGTGCCACTAGAGATCCTGGTTCGAATCCAGGCTCTGTCGTAACCGGCCGCGACCGGGAGACCCATGGGGCGGCGCACAATTGGCCCAGCGTCGTCCAGGGTAGGGGAGGGAATGGCCGGCAGGGATGTAGCTCAGTTGGTAGAGCATGGCGTTTGCAAAGCCAGGGTTGTGGGTTTGTTTCCCACGGGGGGCCAGTATGAAAAAAAAAAAAATCTATAAAAAATAATGTATGCACTCACTAACTGTAAGTCGCTCTGGATAAGAGCGTCTGCTAAATGGCAAAAATGTAAATGTAAGTTTAAATAGCTGGCCGCTAGACTAACTTAACAATATATATTTTTCTAATGGTGACATGGGCTAATTTTGTGACTGCTGATGCACAACCAAATTTCGAAATTCCACCTTGTGTATTCTATTATTCTAACTCTCAACAGTAAGTTGAGACCTCGACTGAGTAATATTATTTGTATCTGTCTGTCTGTCTATCTGTCTGTCTGTGCCTGTTTAACACCAGCCCATCTCAGCACTCATCTTCCATGCATGCCAAGTATCCTCCTCTACCCATCATGCACCGCTCTGTGTGTTTATCGCATAATGGCTCCAGAAAATCCAATTATCCAAAGGTCATGTGCACACACAGGGCCCAGTGCATCCATCCACCATCCGTCATCCGCACCATCCGCCATCCACACCAGGGGCCCAACCAAACACAAAGTACCCCTCCAAAAAATGAATAGAGCAGGGGCATATATGTCCTGTAGATTAACAAATAACTAGATATGACAACCAACTAATCAGAAATCCCTTCCGAAGCCAACAAAGAGACAGAACATTTATGGAAACACAATTAAACCCTACGAGGAATGCTAGCCTAACTGAATTATGGTTTGGTAATAGTAACAATTAACAAGACATACAGTATAATCACAGTGAGAACCCCCTCCGGTGTACCATATTTTCACCTGCTCCTCCTCAGGCGTCTTAATTGATTAAATGTGTTTGCCTCTCTAATACGAAGATGAGCTGACGCCTTCTGGGATTCGCAGGTCAAAGGGGGAGACGGCTACGACACTGATGGTGATTAGGATGCAAAGTGTGTTTAAAAGCTTAAACCCTCCTGCCAACAACATCACACATATTTCAGTGGGAGACAGGTCGAGAACAGCAAAGTAAACCTCCTGGCCCTTGACAAACGACTGGGAACAAACTAACATATGCAGCTTGCAGGCAGGGCCGGGTACAGACTGATCATCTGTCTCACAGCTTATTGGGCATCAGCCAACAACTAAATGTCTGAGAAGGAACTCAGTGACTTAACAGCACCTAGACCCAGATCTGCTTTTTATTCATCTATACAGAAGTCCAAATGGATTGGGGACCAAGAGTTCCTGGTTACAGAACAGTGCGGTGTGCTGGTTGAATATTCTATGCTTGACAGAGCATTCTATGATTGTCTACTTAGACAACTTGCAACTTGTCTGGACAACCTTTTGCATAATTCACTACCCCTCACTCCCCCTCAATATCCCTCACTACCTTTCAATACCCAATTCACTATCTACAATTCACTACCCCTCACTACCCAATTCACTATCTACAATTCACTACCCCTCACTACCTCTCAATACCAATTCACTACACCTCACTACTCAATTCACTATCTATAATTCACTCTCTACAATTCACTACCCCTCACTACACCTAGAGTAAAGCACTTTAGACCTACAGTGGAAAGAGTGGTAAAAAATCCAATCCATTATCATTATTGCCATAGGACATTTAGTGATCTCATTGTCTATAAAGGACTTCTGTAAAATGCTGTCCTACCTCACTACTGTACCGTCTCTCTGACAATACTTGTGCTTGTCCTCCCGATACAATATTATCCCGATACTTAGGTGCCAATACGATATGTATTGCGATTCTCATGATTCTCATGATTCTATATGTATTGCGATTCGATACGGTGATTTTATTGCAATTCGATGTTCCAAACATATTGCTGACCATATGTCTTCCGCAGAGGGACAAAATAAATCCATGAGAATGAGTTTTGATCAGTCATGGAAATAAAAGTGCTGAAAACAAATTGCTTCCCTATTTAAAAAGAAGATGGACAACAAACTATGAGGGAAAATACTTGATATGTAACTGTATCGATTCTTCCCCCTCATCACTAATAGCCATCTAACTTTATTAGCATATCCATCTATAGCAGGGCTGCCCAACCCTCTTCCTGGAGATCTACCGTCCTGTGGGTTTTCAGTCCAACCCTAATTTAACACATCTGATTCTACTTATTAGCTGCTCAACAAGACCTTAACTAGCTGAATCAGATATGATCAATTAGGGTTGGACTGAAAACCTACAGGACAGTAGCTCTCCAGGAAGAGGGTTGGGCAGCCCTGATCTATAGTGACTAAACCATGTAGCATGTAGCCATGATGCTGTGAGTGGGCACTACAGATTAATAGTGGATGAGATGAGTTTCCATTTTACAAGCTCCAAGAGACCGGGTGAATGGTGCTATATGTCTACTATAATTATAATCATTCATCCTTTCATCATGACCACAAATAGTGGATGAGGCAAGGACGAGTTCCCCTCAATCCATTATGATAATTATACTAAGCCATGTAGTGTTTCGGGGCGGGGGGCTGTGTGGTGTGTGGTCCTACCTCTTCCCACTGGTGGATGTAGCGGATGAGCCGGGACAGCCTCAGCAGCCTTAGCAGACTCAGGATCTTAGTGAAGCGTACGATCCTCAGGGCCCTGGCCGTCTTATACATCTCAGAGTCGATCCCCTTCTCCACGATCAGGAAGATATAATCCACGGGGATCGAGGAGACAAAGTCCACGATGAACCAGGTCTTCAGGTACGTCCACTTGATGGTCTTGGGGTCCAGGATGATGTCAGAGTTGTCCTCGATGATGATGCCCGTGCGGAAGTTGAGGACCAGGTCCATGAGGAAGAAGGTGTCGGAGATGACGTTGAAGATGATCCAGGGGGTGGTCGTCCCATCGTTGAAAAAGGTGATGCCCACCGGGATGACAATCAGGTTACCCACCATGAAGAGAAGCATTGTGAAATCCCAGTAGAACCTAGAGAGAGAGAGAGAGAGAGAGAGAGAGAGAGAGAGAGAGAGAGAGAGAGAGAGAGAGAGAGAGAGAGAGAGAGAGAGTTTGTGTATGTGTTTGTTTGTTTGTGTGTGTGTGTAGGCGGGAAAGGGAGAAGCGAAAGGGAGAGGAGGAGGAAAGGGGCGGAGTAGCTACCATTGTATCAATATGTTTTGACCATGACAGTTTGCAATCCAGGGTTACACCAAGCAGTTTAGTCTCCTCAACTTGCTCAATTTCCACATTATTCATTACAAGATTTTGTTGAGGTTTAGAGTTTAGTGAATGATTTGTCCCAAAAACGATGCTTATTACTTGCCACCCATGCTAAAACTGACTGCAGCTCTTTGTTAAGTGTTGCAGTGATTCCACTTGCTGTGGTAGCTGACACGTATAGTGTGGAGTCATCAGCATACATAGACACACTGGCTTTACTCAGAGCCAGTGGCAGGTCATTAGTAAAGATTGAAAACAGTAAGGGGCCTAGACAGCTGCCCCGGGGAATGCCCAACTATACCTGGATTATGTTGGAAAGGCTTCCATTAACAAAACACCCTCTGTGTTCTGTTAGACAGATAACTCTTGATCCACGCTATAGCAGAGATGTAAAGCCATAACGCATAAATTTTTCCAGCAGCAGATAATGTCAAAATCTCCACTGAAGTCTAACAAAAGAGCTCCAACAATTTTCTTATTATCAATTTATTTCAGCCAATCATCTATCATATGTGTAAGTGCCGTACATGTTGAGTGCCCTTCCCTATAAGTGTGCTGAAAGTCAGCTGAAAGTCAGTTTACTGTGAAATAGCATTGTATCTGGTCAAACACAATTTTTCCTAAAGGTTTACTAAGGATTGGTAGCACGCTGATTTGTCGGCTGTTTGAGCCAGTAAAGGGTGCTTTGCTATTATTGGGTAGCATAATTACTTTTCCTTCCCTCCAGGCCTGAGGGCACACACTTTCCTGTAGGCTTAGATTGAAAAGATGGCAAATAGGAGTGCCTTCAGAAAGTATTCATACCCCTTGACTTATTCCACATTTTGTTGTGTTACAGTCTGAATTCAAAATGGATGAAAAAAATATATATATATATCAACCATCTACACACAATACCCCATAATGACAAAGTGAAAACATGTTTTTAGACATTTTAGCAAATATATTGAAAATTAAATACAGAAATATCTCATTTACATAAGTATTCACATCCCTGAGTCAATACATGTTAGAATCACCTTTTGCAGTGATTACAGCTGTGAGTCTTTTTGGGTAAGTCTCTAAGAGATTTGCACACCTGGATTGTACATTTTTTGCAGTATTACATTAGTACCTTGTTGCAAACAGGATGTATGTTTTGGAATATGTTTATTCTGTACAGGCTTCCTTCTTTTCACTCTGTCGATTAGGTTAGTATTGTGGAGTAACTACAATGTGGTTGATCCACAGCCATTAAACTCTGTAACTGTTTTAAAGTCACCATTGGCCTCATGGTGAAATCCCTGTGCGGTTTCCTTCCTCTCCGGCAACTGAGTTAGGAAGGACGCATGTATCTTTGTAGTGACTGGGTGTATTGATACACCATCCAAAGGTTAATTAATAACTTCACCATGCTCAAAATGTCTGCTCTTTTTTACCCATCTACCAATAGGTACCCTTCTTTGCGAGGCATTGAAAAACCTTCCTGGTCTTAGAGTTTTAAATTCACTGCTAGACTGAGGGACTGAGGGTACAGAGATGAGGTAGCTCGACTGAGGGTACAGAGATCAAATCAAATCACATTTTATTTGTCACATGCGCCGAATACAACAGGTGTAGACCTTACCGTGAAACGCTTACTTGCAAGCCCTGAGGGAGTCATTCAAACAACATGTTAAACACTATTATTACACACAGTCCTTGCATCTTATTATGTGACTTGTTAAGCACATTTTTACTCCTGAACAAAGGGGTTGAATACTTATTGACTCAAGACATTTCAGCTTTCCATTTGTAATTAATTTGTCAACATTTCGAAAAACATAATTTCACTTTGACATTATGGGTTATTGTGTGTAGGTCAGTGACCAAAAATCTCAATTTAATCCATTTTAAATTTAGGCTGAAACACAACAAAATGTGGGGAAAAATTTGCTAATCTTGCCAATGAAAAATATCAGGTGGTTTTGTGATGAATGAACCATCTGATTCAATGAATGATGGAGATGAGTTTTCCTTTTTTCCCAAAATTGTATTTAAGGTCCTCCAAAGCTTTTTACTATCATATCTTTATATAATTTATCTTTGTTTCATAGTACATTTTCTTCTTCTTTTTATTTAGTTTAGTCAAATGATTTCTCAATTTACAGTATGTAAAATCCAGTTAGCTGAGGTGTAAAGAGCAGGTTAAACGGTTGGGTGCTGCTGATGACAGTCAGAGGTAGAGGGGAGAGGGGAGAGGTAGGCTAGTGAGCTGCTGATGACAGTCAGAGGTAGAGGGGAGAGGGGAGAGGTAGGCTAGTGAGCTGCTGATGACAGTCAGAGGTAGAGGGGAGAGGGGAGAGGTAGGCTAGTGAGCTGCTGATGACAGTTCAGAGGTAGAGGGGAGAGGGGAGAGGTAGGCTAGTGAGCTGCTGATGACAGTCAGAGGTAGAGGGGAGAGGGGAGAGGTAGGCTAGTGAGCTGCTGATGACGTCAGAGGTAGAGGGGAGAGGGGAGAGGTAGGCTAGTGAGCTGCTGATGACAGTCAGAGGTAGAAGGGGAGGAGGGGAGAGGTAGGCTAGTGAGCTGCTGATGACAGTCAGAGGTAGAGGGGGAGAGGGGAGAGGTAGGCTAGTGAGCTGCTGATGAACAGTCAGCGGTAGAGGGGAGAGGGGAGAGGTAGGCTAGGTGAGCTGCTGATGACAGTCAGAGGTAGAGGGGAGAGGGGAGAGGTAGGCTAGTGAGCTGCTGATGACAGTCAGAGGTAGAGGGGAGAGGGGAGAGGTAGGCTAGTGAGCTGCTGATGACAGTCAGCAGGTAGAGGGGAGAGGGGAGAGGTAGGCTAGTGAGCTGCTGATGACAGTCAGAGGTAGAGGGGGGGAGAGGTAGGCTAGTGAGCTGCTGATGACAGTCAGAGGTAGAGGGGAGAGGGGAGAGGTAGGCTAGTGAGCTGCTGATGACAGTCAGAGGTAGAGGGGAGAGGGGAGAGGTAGGCTAGTGAGCTGCTGATGACAGTCAGAGGTAGAGAGGGGAGAGGGGAGAGGTAGGCTAGTGAGCTGCTGATGACAGTCAGAGGTAGAGGGGAGAGGGGAGAGGTAGGCTAGTGAGCTGCTGATGACAGTCAGAGGTAGAGGGGAGAGGGGAGAGGTAGGCTAGTGAGCTGCTGATGACAGTCAGAGGTAGAGGGGAGAGGGGAGAGGTAGGCTAGTGAGCTGCTGGATGACAGTCAGAGGTAGAGGGAGAGGGAAGAGGTAGGCTAGTGAGCTGCTGATGACAGTCAGAGGTAGAGGGGAGAGGGGAGAGGTAGGCTAGTGAGCTGCTGATGACAGTCAGAGGTAGAGGGAGAGGGGAGAGGTAGGCTAGTAGCTGCTGATGACAGTCAGAGGTAGAGGGAGAGGGGAGAGGTAGGCTAGTGAGCTGCTGATGACAGTCAGAGGTAGAGGGGAGAGGGGAGAGGTAGGCTAGTGAGCTGCTGATGACAGTCAGAGGTAGAGGGGAGAGGGGAGAGGTAGGCTAGTGAGCTGCTGATGACAGTCAGAGGTAGAGGGGAGAGGGGAGAGGTAGGCTAGTGAGCTGCTGATGACAGTCAGAGGTAGAGGGGAGAGGGGAGAGGTAGGCTAGTGAGCTGCTGATGACAGTCAGAGGTAGAGGGGAGAGGGGAGAGGTAGGCTAGTGAGCTGCTGATGACAGTCAGAGGTAGAGGGGAGAGGGGAGAGGTAGGCTAGTGAGCTGCTGATGACAGTCAGAGGTAGAGGGGAGAGGGGAGAGGTAGGCTAGTGAGCTGCTGATGACAGTCAGAGGTAGAGGGGAGAGGGGAGAGGTAGGCTAGTGAGCTGCTGATGACAGTCAGAGGTAGAGGGGAGAGGGGAGAGGTAGGCTAGTGAGCTGCTGATGACAGTCAGAGGTAGAGGGGAGAGGGGAGAGGTAGGCTAGTGAGCTGCTGATGACAGTCAGAGGTAGAGGGGAGAGGGGAGAGGTAGGCTAGTGAGTGTTCAAGGCTACGCAGTCAGAGAGGGCTCACTGCAGGTGCAACGCTGAGTCATTACACTGCGACTGACGCAACAAGGTGTGAACCATGTACCAGATGGCGAACACAACTCCACAGTTTACACCACAACAATAACATATTTGATAAAACCCTGTTAGTTATGATATTTGTGAGAACTCTGACATGACAACTCCTATGAGACTTGTATTTATTGTGTTGCATAACTCTCCTCAAAACTATATGGTCAAATTACATACACTGAGTATACCAAACATTAGGAACACCTTCCTAATCTTGAGTTGCACCCGCTTTTGCCCTCAGAACAGTCTCAATTCGTCGAGGCATGGACTCTACAAGGTGTCGAAAGCGTTCCACAGGGATGCTGGCCCATGTTGACTCCAATGCTTCCCACAGTTGTGTCAAGCTGACTGGATGTATCATACTGAGTCAACATTATTTGATCACATTCGTTAAGATGAGCTGAGCAGAAACAGCACGAGGTGTGATTAAGGCTAGCTGCAGAGTTTATCATTCTGCCGGCTCCACTTTCGGTTAGGCAGGAGCTGTCCACTCGCCAGTGGTGCTGAAACGAGGGACGGAAGCGCCCATGTGTCTTTCAAGAAAGCCAGTGACGCAAAGATGCAATTTCACGACCATGTAAACAATGGCATATCATGCAGAGACAGGGCCCAATTCACGAAAATAAAGCATTTCATAATCAACATGACCCTTTCAAACGCGAGAGGACCCCGATTTGTGTGTCAAAAGTCGTGAGAAGTAAATTATCCTTATCGCTGATAAAACCGTGATAAACGGGCAAAGCGAACCCCTCATTAAAATGCATGATCCGGGGAGTCATAGAGTAATAGAGGTGGATATGTCTCGAGTGAGCATGCTTGAGGTTTTAGCACACTTGGCTCAAGGTGACATTCAATTACTGAGTGCATCACACACCCCGGCAGTCCTATCAGCCAAGGATCTGGCCGACAGCCATAGGCTACTACGCTAACCTCGACTCGAAACAAAAACAAACCATCTTTAATCTAGCCCCACGGTAAATAGCCTAGTAATTTACGTAATTTAATAATTGTGGGCCAAGATTAGCCTATTGTTCTGAATGCGATCGATGCGAATGAGTTCACAAATTGAAACAAACGCGAGGCTTGGTTGGGTATCCCTGACATTCAACAGACTAGCTAGTGTTTACAACCTTGAAAGGGCACGATATCATCGCTATTCATAAAGCCTATGCCGAGAGCTTTGCACACAGGTTGTCTTTGAAATAATCTAAAAAGCACTTCTAAAAAACATGCTTTGTCAATGGCCCATTGTTTAATGAAAATCGCTGCATAGATGGGCTTCATTCATTAAAATGTGATATAAATGTGTAGGCTAAAATACCAGCCAGAACAGGTGGAACATATGTCTTATAACAACTAATAACAATGGATGTGTCGCACAATGCACAATGACAATATCATTCTATTGCTGGGCTCCTGGATTCTCAGTATAACTTGTTGATGGTGCTATGGGGCCAAAAAAAGGCACTCCATGACATTGCCAACATGCACATACATACATAGCATAACTCTTACCTGAAATCACTGTAGGGGTGGATAATCCAATTGCCCGCTGATTTAACCCGCTCTTGCTCCCTCTCCACCGCCTTTTGACTCCCATACATGCGTAAGGAGAATTTGTTAACTCCAGGCTGCAGCATGGCACTGAATTGTCGCTGCATGAAGGTGCTTCCGTCAGGCTCGGCATCCTCGGCCTGGATCTGGGGTCCATCCTCGGGCTTCTGGAAGGTGACAGAGTTTCTAGGCTGCTGGGTCGTCTGAGTCTGGGTCGAGCCGTGCAGCGATGAGGACGCTTTCCTGCTCGGTGCGTTGGAGAAGGACACCCTGGAGTCCTTTTTCTCGGGGACGCCGGTGGAAACCGGGGTGACGCCGGGGTTTACGCTACCTTCCCCCTGGCCCTGCGTCATGGACCCTGTCGTGGAGCCATCCATGCTGGCCCTGGCTGAGTTACAAGCACTGCGCCTAAGGGACGAGTCCTCGGCCCTCCCCGCCCCGGCAGTCTTGTTGGAGATGATGGAGCGCAGGCTCCCGGTGCCGGAGTCCCTCCTGCATTCTCCGTTTTTGTTGCATTTCATTCTTAAAATTGGAGCGGTGGTGTTGCAAGCATCACCTGCTGCCGCGTTTAAAACCTCTACTGCGACAGCTGCTCCAGACGCCTCCGCCCCTGCCGCGCTGTTGGTCTCTCCGCGCCCGGCAGCATCTCCCGGACAGGTTGTGGTATCAGTCGCTTTGGATGCTACAGTGAGCTTAGTAGCAGCAGGCGCGCCCTCTGCTTGCAGTAGGCTGGGCTCGTTGTTGGTGGAGTTCTTTCTGGTGGCCGTGGCCGCGGCTCCCCCTCCTGGCGTAAAGTTCTTCATCCTGATACTCCCGCCTCCGCCACCGCCGTTCCACCCGGTTCGGCGCAGCCGCGGATACTGAGTCTTGGACTCGTCCTCACCGTCCTCCGCCTCGTCTATGACAGCGTTGCTGGCCACGCCGGGCTGCTTCACAGTCGGGGCACTCTGGCTGGCAGCAGCAGCGGGGACAGAGTCAACACAATTGCTGCTTTTGCTTCTCGTACAATTGGACATGGCACCTTTGGGCGCGCTGATGTGGCTACATCCGCTGCCGCCCGCCACCTTCTTTTTCATGGTCGTAGCAGATGAGCCTGGTGAAACCTCATTCTTGTCCATGACATTGGGCATATCAAATGTTGCCTCCAATTATCTTTAGAGAAACCCGAACAGGGACAGAGGAGAGGGGGAGAGAGAAAGGAGAGAGAGGAGGAGGTGGACGTGACTTCTTTGCAAACTACAAGAGTAGGTATCTGTGCTCACTTTCAGAGATCATGTAAGCTTTTAGCGGCAGTTGCTCCGTGATTAAGTCCCATTCAGCAAACCATGGGCTACTGTAAACCTATAGCCTTATTAAATTAACTTACAATTACATTCTAATCAATCAAACTCCCAAAATATTCAACAAGCTATCAGCTAAAATCATGTGAAATCGGGTAGGGTCAATTACTCATATAGCATTCAAACGCTCAATTAAAACGGCATGAAAGTAATGAAGCAATGATGTCATTTTTTAGAGGGTGTTTTCAATGACAATATGTCAAACAGACGTGTAGCGCCCTCTACTGTCCATACAGGTGGAATAGATAGAATGAGATCTCAAAGTGATAGCAGTCTGTTTCCTTTACCCCATCATCTGCACTTATCTGAAAGAGCTGAGCAGGTAAACTTCCACAGCAACAGCAACTTTCCAATAGGCATCTACCATACTTTCCCCTATCTCATGTTTCCATATGAGGACATGACAATCAAGATATAAGGGGAGGAGGCCACTTCTATCGAAATGCGCCTTTTATAAGCATCATATCCTTGAATCAAACTATTTGGGTTTTCATCAAAGATTCTCCTCAAAGATACAGCTTTCAATTTACACCAAACGTTCCAAGAATCCAAATCGGATTGTAGGAATGATCAAATTATGTTTTGGAAGTGAGGTACTGTCACCCAAAAGTTAGATTAAGATATTAGTGAACAGATACAGTAATGTGTGCAGGCAGGCACCAAAGTATTCTTGCTGGTAGGGTTACATTATATCACAGTTTCTAGCCTGCTGTTACCTCCATCAACAGGTGCATGTAACTTTTTGTAACCACATGATTATTTCAGGACCCCTTTACAGGACAGGACAGAAACAATGTTTAATCCATCTCCAAGTTTACCCAAGCATTCACAACCGGTGAGCTGAGCACGTACTGAAATTGAATAAATCATACAGTGATCAAATCAGACCAGCAGTAGGATACGGAAGAACAGCCCTGACAAAGGACCCAAGCTCCAGACACACTGTCTGATCTGATATAGGACAAGGATGCCTTTGAGAGAGATCAATGGTTAGGGAAAACGTGCCCAGTATGTATTTATCGCCAAATCCTATTTCAACCTTATCTACGTCATACACATGATAATACAGGCAAAACTGTATATATGTTCTGATATTTTACCTTGTCCATTGAGACCTTGCTCTTCTGTTACAGAACCAGTGAGAACTATATGAGGACGGACACACACACATACACAGCTTTCAGAATCACTGACGTTGATCGCACACAGTCTGTGTCAATGACATTCAGAGGTTGTCTGCAATCACTGAACTTGTCTCAAACATCCATGCAGCAATGTTAAACTACGTTTCCCAGGGGTCAATGGGGTTGTCATGACTGTTCTGAGGCTCCTTGCCGCAGGTCTCTTACCTTTTCACAGTGACGCTGTCTGTGAGATGCCGGGTCCAGTCTGAGCTGGCAGATGGAGTGTGTCTCTTGCTCTGCAGAGGCTGCCTGCCTCAATTCCACTTCCTGGTATGATGACACATTAGAAGTATGATGCTCTGGGTTCATTTGCATAAAAGTCAGAGTTCCAAAAAAGAAAAAAAAGACTAATTGATCTTGGACGAGGTCCAACGAGATATGAGGAATCCCTGAGAGAGACATTTACCATTTTATTGTTGTTATTGTCGTTATTTAAAAAAATATATTATGATTATTTACTACCATTTTATATTATTATTTGTTATTCTTTATTTTTTTATTACAATGTATATTGTATACATTGTTTCTTTGGCAATATTGATACAATGTTTTTCATGCCAATAAAGCAGCTTGAATTTGAATTTGACAGTGTCAGGCTGGTTGAACAGATGCTGCTGTTGGGTGGTCTGGTGGAACAAACCTGAGAGCAGCGTATGCTGGCAGCGTCAACATTCATCATTGTTGTGTGAGAATTTGAAGTTGCAGCTATAACCACTCACACAGGGTCAGCTATTCTTTCAACCCTCTAATGGTTTAGGTTAAAATTGGGGTTAGCGTAATCTGGTCCTAAATCTGTGGTTAAGGTCAACCTTATGATAAAACCTCAGCTACCTTTTTTCCACACTGACATCCCAGGTGTATGTGGACTGGTTATAACATATTTATAGGGTAAAAATAAGCATTTCAGTCATGCACAGAAGGTTTAGTGAAAGATATACAGTAATAATGTTTACTTCCCCCTCTACCGCCTATTGTTCCCAGGAAGCTAATCAGGTGAAGGTGTGGATGACACCAGGCCGGGTCTCTTTCTCTCTATTTTTGTTCCCCACCCATTTCTTCCTTCTCTCATTTTCTCTCCTCCACACACACACACACACACACACACACACACACACACACACACACACAGACACAGACACACACACAGACGCACACACACACAGATACACACACACACACACACAGAAAGACAAGGCAGCTTTAAATGGGTCATAATGGGTTTAGGCTGATAGTGCTGCAGCAGTAGACAGGAGAGGGAAGGTACCGTTACACCAGCAGGGCTGATAAGGAAATGACTTGGGTGGGGGGCCCCACATAGACTAGAACAGACTAGAACATACTGGAACCTATGCTATCAACACATTGGTATGGGGTTATTTTCTGTTTATCCATTCTCATTTCAACGCCAAACCCACAACTGGTGTGTGTGGCCAAAGAGCTCTATTTTCATTGTCATCTGACCAAAGCAACGGTTCCAATCCAAGTGCCAATGCCATTTATCAAACTCCAAGCGTTTATATGTGCTGGATGATATGAAACTAGAGCTCTTTGACCACGCACACCAGTGGTGGGTTTAGAGTCAAAACAAGGATACCTAGCAGTAAAATATGTTATGGGGCTATTTTGCTCCCACTGGTCCTGGGGCGCTTGTTACGGTCAACGGCATCATAAACTTTACCCAGTACCAGGACATTTTAGCTAAACACCTGGTTGCCTCTTTTTTTAGCATACAATATGGCTCAGTATTTGTATTATTTATTTATTATTGACCTTTTATCAAGGGTGCCAATAATTTTGGACCTGACTGTACATGACTTGGATAGGGGCTTGGTCTGAAACACATTAAAATGTTCCAATGATCCCTTCAGTGATATTAGGTGTAAGCCTAGGGGTAGGGGTTAGGGGAATATTTAGGCTGGGCTACACAGAACTTTAGGTTACGACTGTAAGCCCGGTTCTCTGATAGTATGAGTGAGGTATTTCACTTTATTACACTACACCAGCCATGATTGGCTGGACGTCGAGACGTGTGCGTCCGGGAAGGATGTCCCTTCTACCCTATAAAAGGTCAGACGCAGCGTCTCTGAGTCATTCAAAAATAAGCCACACCCTTCCTCGCTCATGCAAGGAGGGTGGTCTGGTGAAATACCTCACTCATACTATCAGAGAACCGGGGTTACAGTCGTAACCTAAAGTTCTCTTTCAAAGTATTCATTTCGGTATTTCACTTATGGGATATACTGACTCCCGTATTGCCAGACAAGCTTATCCTGATGACCGACTGCCCTGTGCGATATATCACACAAATGGGCTTTGCCCTTCAGAAGATCCTACACCTAAAACAGTATGCGCCAGGATCGGTGCAGTGACATCGAGCCTATAAAACTTCGCAAATGTATGACGCGAAGCCCAACTCGCTGCTGAGCAAATATCTTGGATAGATATGCCCTTAAATAAAGCCCAGGACGTAACCATTCCTCTAGTGGAATGAGCCCGTAGGCCAGCAGGAGGCTGAAGACCCTCCCTTGTGTAGGCCAAAGCAATAGCCCCCACTATCCAGTGGGATAGGCCTTGTTTAGTGAGCACTTTACCTGTGTAAGGTTTCGCCCAGGAAATAAACAACTGATCATATTTCCTAAATCCCTTAGTCCTGTCCATGTAGATGCGCAGAGCGCGTGCTGGATACAACATATGCAACCGTCGATGTTCCAGAGAGGAAAACGGTGGGGGGAAAAAGCTACCAGCTCCAGAGGAAGACACATCAAAGATGGGTTAACAATCTTAGGGATAAAGGCGGGGTTAGGCCGCAACGATACCCTATTGTTACCAGGTGCAAATTGTGAACACGACGAGTGCACCGAGAGTGCGTGAATGTCACTTACACGCTTGGCGGAGGCCAGTGCTAGTAATCGCGCAGTCTTAAATGAAAGCATCTTCAGCTCCACCTGATCCAGGGTTCAAAAGGATGTTGGCATAGAGCATCCAAAACGGGCGACAAGGGAGTGTTGCCCCACTGTCGTGCTCCCAAAACCCAGATGACAAGCTGAAATAGCTGCTAGATATGCCTTAATAGTAGAAAAATACTTTCCTTTTTCTAATAATTCCTGTAGAAACGACAGGATTACCGGGACAGAGCACTGGAATGGCACTGCCTGTGATACAGTGCACCATTCCTCAAACACTGGCCATTTACAATTATAAAGGGACCTGGTGGATGAGGCTCTAGCACTCTGAATAGTCGAAATGACATTCTGAGGAAGCCCGACAGTGTTCAAGTTGAACCATTCACGGGCCAGGGCCAGAGTGCCAACCGTTCCGGGTGAGGATGGAAAATCTCCACAGATGGCCGGATTGCAGTTGAGTGATCTCCGCTAGCCAGTGTTTCCCTGGCCAATGTGCCGCTATTAGTATGAGAGATAGACCCTTCTCCCGCACCCTGGCTAGGGTGGGGTAAATCAGGGCCAGTATGGGGGAATGCATACAGGAGGACGCGTGGCCAGTCGTGCGCCAACGCGTCCACTCCCATCGGTGACTCCCGATCCCTCAGGGAAAAGAACAGTGGACACAGAGTATTTTCCATCTATGCATAAAGATCCACTACTGGAA